ATGGTAACTAATATATATCTTGTTGGTTGGGCAGCTCCGCATAATCCATTGGATGGGTACACGCCTGGATTTCCAGTTGTATGCTCTTGTATTTGCAAAGACTAGTTCTGTTTGATCAGTATTCATCATAGGGAGGAGGTAGCACTAGGGGGTATTGGTGAGGAGTTCTTCTTTTCAATAATCCATTCAGCTTTGTCCCAGGTGGTGAGGGGGTTGTGCCTGTTGTTGTGATTCTTGATGATGCTGCGTAGTTCGGGTTGTGTGTCGTTTGTGATTTGTTGGCAACACAATTTGGTTGACCAGTAAACCTCTTTGGCGATATTCAGTTCGAAGAGCTCGAATGTGATGAAAGGGCTGACCGTTTTGTTTTTAATTGTGTATAGGTAATCCAGGTTGCCCTCTTATTGGCTCTTGCAATAGAATACTGGGGCTACTAAACAACGAATATTGCTGCGCGGGGACATCTATGATCCCTATTGCCTGCAAGTATTTAGCTGAGATGTTTGAAGTTCGATATATCCGTTTTATTAGGATATCCTCTAGAGCGAGGTCAGTGGATCCTGTTTTTGGACGGATGTTTGGTGTCTTACTCAATAGGTTTTTGGTCCATATCCATTGGTGAGGTTCCTGTGCATAGATTGCTTGGCTAACTTTTGGCTGATTAGTTGCTGTGATATCGGTTGGTGGCACCAGGGACAACTGTGGTCTCTGTGATTTTTCAAAAATCTGTAGGTCAGAGTCCTATGTGGTATTGTTTGTTGTGGAATCTTCAAACATAGAGATTGGTTGGTCGGATGAGGGTGGGTCAGAAGAAGTTCCTATACTATCCTCAGATTTAGTTCCCATCTTGGGCTCAAAACTAAGTTGTGTGATGTTTGGGGGGTTGTATTCCTTCACACGCCATTCCTGGTGAAGTGTGCCCTTCATTTCAGGTTGATGAGGTTGAGGGTACCGCTTGGTGTGTTGTATTCGACTCTTGTTGTTGTTTTTCTTATGGTATAGTCGGGGGACTTTACAATATTTGACAGTGTGGTCTGTTTTGTGGCAGTGTTCACATTCCTCCGGGCTGCCTGTATATACTAGGCCATGGCATACTCCCCCTTCTCCATCTCGGATAAATCTGTAGTGTTTTCCGCTCCCAAGTGTTGAGATCTGTCTGATTAGGTAGGTTGCCATGTGTTTTTCCAATGAGAGTATGTTCTTGTCCATGTCCCAATGAGGAACGTAGTCGGGTGAGAGTCTCTGCTGTTAGCTGTGCATTGAAATATTTCCGATGGGTGAAAGGTGCGCTGTTGTCCTCCTTTTGGATGCTGTGCACTGGCTCTGGTTGGGCAATGGGCATCTGTACATGCTGGTTGGAGTCAAGGTCCATCATAGGTGTGTCTTTAGGGGAGTGAGGAAATACATTGGGAGCTTGGGCTGGTAGATCCGGTTCCGGTGAGGATTGCACATGTGTGGGAATGTCATCAGGAGGCGTAGATTCAATTCTACCTACGTTATCTGTATCGTGTCCTACCGATCGGCCTGCCCACTCCGTGTGAGTGGTGCCTTTGCAATCAGTCCAATTGTATGTTGATTGAGGGTCTCGGAATTGTACCCATTCTAGGCAGGCCAAGGATTGTAGCTCCGTGTTCCTACGCTCCTCTTGCTGCAGCTGAGAGCTAATTCTATAATTGTTAGCTGCTAAGAGGTTTCCGTTTTCAAAATAGAATCCTTTAGAGTTCATTCTACACTAAATGTTATCTCTCTCCGTCTGCACTAGTTCACGCTAGTGCTAGCTTCTATTTGGTGTTAGACCAAAATGTAGGAAAAGATTGCATAGAATTTCAGAGATGGCTGTATAATAGAATTCTATATCATGATGTGTCATGGAGTGGTGTAGTCTAGATGGTTCTTCCTTTCTAATATATTTGTGATAACATGCTAGGTTTTCTATGTAGATCAGAGCTTGTGCTACCGGTGGGAGCGTTGTCCATGGCAGGATGTCTATCAAGTTGACTGCCAGTTCAACATAGGAGATGCAGTGGCGGTACGGGGTGGTATTATCGTTCTGGCAATGTTCCTGTTCCAGGCGAAGGCGTTGGTTTTGTACAACATCCTGACTCTCATAAATCAAATCGGGGATCGCTGGAGGAAAGCACTCTCCACTCCAGGCTATGGCTATGCCTCTTGGTGCCAGTCGGTGAGGTTCTGTGTAGTTCCTAGAAGAGGATGGAGAGGATGGCGATCGTCTGCATCCTCCTGACTCCACAATCTGGGGGTGTAATTAGGTAGGTGCTGAAATGGAGTAGGTTGATAGTACCTGGTATGGTGGCGGCCGTCCAAATGCTATCAATATTGTACCTCATTTTTATATCCTAGGTCCTGCACTGGTGTGTGTTTCAGTTCTCCTCGATGCTGATGGTTCGAATTGCGTAGCTGTGAGGCAGAGAGCGTAGCTGGTGCGGTCCACGTTCTTGTTTGAAGGTGATTCTGGTAATTAGGGTTATTCGTATGTTGTTCCAGGGAGCGGTTGTTGCTGCTTTCTAGATGGTTCCAGGGCTGGAGTGGTGGAGCTGTGGCGTGGGTGTGCTTTGGTTGTCCCCAAGAGCGCTGGATTACACTAGACGTATGTTTGAGCTGGGATAATCCCTACAAGTGTGATGTTCCCAAGGTCTCCGTTGTGAAGAAGCGATTGATGTCATCCTGTGAGATTAGTTCTCTTGGGTTTCGATCCTCTAAATGAGTTGTTGGGAGACGTGCCTACTCGTGTACGTATTGGAGGGGGTCGGCGAGGGGTACTCAACAGTATATGGTGATGACTTGAGTCCATGGCGGTAGGTGTACTATAGTGAAAGTAATCTAGGATACTATTGTGTAACTGTGCGCAATGCTTGTATTCAAGTGTGTAACTGTTAATACAATTCTGCAAAAGGGCAAGACGACTAAGGTCTAGTAGTAAGCGTGCCTGCCAAAGCTCCTCCCTAACTAGTCTTAGTATCTTGCTAACTAGTGATGCAAAACAGCCAAAAATTGGTGCATAGCAATCTCTGAGAAAAATACTACACGTACAAAAGAGGTATTACCAGAAAACTTGAACAATTTGTTCCTTACAAACGTCTCTACATTTCCGGATCTGGATAAGGTGCGGCCCCGCAGTGTCCGCAGCGGTCTGCCACCCGGTAGCGGTAAATGATGCCAAATTCCAGCTCTCATGTCTACTAATCTTCTTTTTTCACTTTCATAAACAATGGGAGCTCTTCTCCATGGTCGATGAACAATGCGGCTTTGGGGGCTACTGGTCAGACTAAGCCAATGCTGCAACGTCACAAATTTGAACGTATTCGAAGTAGGTGTGCTATCCACTCACTATCCAATACAAGAGCACTAGCAAATCTCATAATCACTTTTGCAAAGAATAGTTCAAGCACTTCTTTTTGTTGTTCTTCTTGCTTCCAACCAAAAATCAAATGGACAACCTAGGTATGGCGTGGCGTCGAGAGCAAGCCTTGTTCGATTACCACCAGGACCTCAAAAACATAGATTGGCATTCCCACCCTTGCTCGAAAGCTCGTGAAGATTCAATCGGACATAGTAAGGGGATTACCAAAATCATGTACGCAAAGCGCTCCTGAAGAGGCGTCAGGAATTGAACAACCTTCCGAAGGTATTCGATAGTGTTAATGAGGCAGTCTTGGTCTTCTTACGACTGCCATAAGCTTGCGATCGATATCTTGGACGAGGCCGAGTTAACAACAATGGAATTCGTGCAGAGAATGTTGGTCAAGGACAGTACAATAATCTTCTCGACGAATGACTGCTACTTGGACATAATCACGAGGGTAAATGAATCTTTGGATACTGAAGTCGACGGGGCCTACAATTTATTTGCTGGTTTGAGCCTGGATGTGAGCCGGTGGAGGTTAAAACACTAGTCAGTGCGTATATCCAGAAGCGAGAGGCATGGAAAATGAAAACCTACGTTGCAACATATTTGAAAATTGTGCAGTACCGCCTTGCAGACGAGATAACCCTTGGAAATCCGCTACGCACTGCATAGGACAATTATGGATCGCCTTCCCGAACTAAAAATGCTGCGAGCTTTGAAGCCCCCGAGGTAGAGGCTCTCATGCAGCAAGACTCCGAAATCATCGGCCGTCGTGTCCGTTTGCAGCAACAAGTCGATTCTCTGAAGAAAAGCTTGTATCGGCACTGATTGCAGAATGATGCTGTAGGAAAATTTTGCTTTACTTTGCCACACGATCAATCGGAATTTTGGAGGCTTTCTGAGTAGATCATGCAGTGCCCAGGTGTGAATCGGGTAGAGGGATTGGGGACGAAGGAACGAATGTGAAGGACCGACAGACAGACAGTCGTTCACTCATCCTCGGTCAAAATGTTGAAGTAGACGTAGTTGTTCAGAGCGGTGGTGGTTGAATCCTCATGCACAGTCCAGTTGCTCAGTGTCGCCGTTGCTGGTGTGTCGACGAATAAAAAGCAATCAAACACATAAAGAAAGTAGAAAAACTGCCCGACAGGGTTAGAAGCAAAATTTTGAAGCTTTCTATGGTGAATTAGAAATAGTTTGTATATCATCCCCACGCAGTAATGTCATTTTTTGCACATGAAACTGAAAACTTCAAGTTTGACTTGAAATAAACCATCCAAAAATGCTTTTGCCATTTTTTTATTACTAAAATGGGAGTGGCATGCATGACAATTGAGTTTTGATGCAATAGGTCTTCACAATAATGCACCTCTTGCTTCGTCGCTCAAAAGTTCATCGTAATAATAACAGAAGTTATGTTGTTTCTTTACATCTACCTTCAACAGTATCAAATTTGGTTGCACCAATACCTTTTGGTTATAAGGATTGGTACGGTTGATGATGAAAGATTTATTAACTATTCAAATACAATTTATTGTGGAAACATTTTAAGATATATATGATACTTTCAGAAACATTTAGAAATATATGCTGGCTGACTAAGAATGATTTATTTAAGCTGCATCAATCATAATATCACAAATCATATTTAGAATTCAAAGAGCTGTTGCAAACCCGTGCTCAAATCGACAATAATGTTGAAGCCAGTCATTACAGCTTCCACAACCAAACCTTCACCAATTCTTGTGCTTGGCAGTTAACTTCTGATGACTTATTAGTTGCCACTAGAAAGGCACAAAAGTAGTCTCCAATTTTGGAAATAAAGACGATTCAGAGCTTCATGTGCATCGAGTTGCGACTGACTTAAAGAGTGGCACTACAGATGCATATTCGTACTTGCACATCTCCCTCAGCTAGGACTTTAGATTTAAGCTGAAGAAAGCACAAGTCCATATACACTAGAAACCACGATAGGAAGGATCTAAATAAACCATCGACATTCACAGAGGGCAACAACCCAGCAATGCCCAAACGAGCACGTAGAGAACGGCTCAAGCGGGAGATCTATAACATTCCTTCAAAACTTTCTTTCGTATGCACCTGACTAACCTTAGCCCCAAGGCCTGACTCAAACGAATCTTTACAATGTCATCTCTCGCTGGAAGGGAAAGTATAAGTCCCATCACAGTTGTAGAAACTGCCGCAAATTACTGTACAATTTTGTGGACCTGCACTTCCGACCTGCGCACATCCAAAAAAAACGTAGGTCAACACTTGTCATACCAAAACAACCTGAAGATGCTTACTTCTAAAACTCCCAAAATGTACATGAAATTATCCCTATAAACTTTGTCCAACTTTTCTAGTGCTGCACCGCACGAATCCATTAAGCTCTGTTCAGGCTGTTTTAAGTACGAATCCCAGAATATAAAACTAAGGATTATGAACGTGTCCTCAACCCTCCATACTTCGAAAGTTACAAAAACAATAAGTCTAAATTCAGCAAGGGGCTCTCACATGAGTTATGCCTTGCGATGCCATCCGATCGCTGACCGCTCATCACCAGGATCTTAGACAACGTCATCGATGTCCGGTTCCCTCCCAAGGATTTCGAGGCGCCAACCTTAGTCCTTGGGAATTTCATTCATTCATAGCATCCACCACACTTTTACAAGACATGGATGTTTTGCTTTCCTTTTCAAGCCGACCCTTACTTACGTCAGCTTCAGCCGTTTCCAATACAACACTCGCCTTCAAAAATTCCCCAGCCAACACATCAAACAAAGGCATAGCTGGCCCTGATTCCCCTTCCACTTCATTCTTGCTCTTCCGAGGCACTGACACGGAACTACCTTCTCCAACAGATTGACTCAGTGGGGGAGTATCCCCACGAGCTCTTGGTTGCATTTTCTGACTTGAGCTGTCTCTTAACTTCTTATCTTCCTCCACCGAGGTCCCGCTCTGGCCCCCACGAAAACCATGCTCCCCTACCCACTCATCCTTTTCTTCCTGTTGTTCAGCAACTTTACTTTTCTCCAACGAAAGCCTTACAACTTCCTCAAGAGCACTGCATGCCGTCCCAACGCGACTTACACGATACTTCTTGCGACGGGAGACTCGCCTTCCCGTCTTCTCTTCCACGTCGGCTCCTAATCGCAATTCATCTGTCTCTTCCTTATCCCGGTGCCCCCGCTCTCTAACCTTCGAATCCTCTGTACCTAGACCACACTCAGCAGAATTCGACTTACCACTCGCATTGGGCTTCTGGGAGGACTTCGCATCACGAACACGATCAGCTGTAGCATTGCACAGATCCTCGTCATTATTGTCCTTCAAAACAATGTCCAAAAAATTGCCCTTGAACGAATTCGACTTGCTCAGATCTCCGACAAACTCGCTTGCCTTAGCACAAGGGCTTAAGGGATTTTGATTAAAAAGTAAACTTGGCTCTTCATGTTCATCCTCAAGAACCTCAGCTTTAAGGATATCTACTGGAGCCTCTGCATTTTGCATCTCATTAATACCAGCAACCGGACTAGAAGAACGTGAATCTGCTCCCTCATCCTCGTCATCATCCTCTTCTGATTCATTTGCTTTGGTGCTATTGATCAAGACTGCATTACTACCCACCACATTTACAGTTCTCTTCAATGTCTCAATTTCTTCAGGCAAGTTCAACTTCGCTTCCCCCCCAAACTGTCCAAAGGCGACCTACGCACCACATCGACAAAACAAAATCAGAACGCTTGGATTTGAGAATATACATATTAGAAATAAGTTAGTCCGTCGAAATCAACATGCGTCCTTCGTGGACCGCAACATGAGCTGTCCATGTTGAAAACATCTGAAACAAAAAGGTTCCTCAATATTGGAGGATTTCCTGTAAGTGCTTGGTTGCTCATGTGCTACGGATACTGCTTGAGGGAACTTCCGGTATTTAAGAATCACCATCAGTCGAAATTCTAACACATGAAAAATCCAGCACCAGCAGGAACATTCACGGCATAGAAGAGTTTTCCATCAGAGGAGATGTTGCATAAAGACAAACAATCTAACAATCCAACGAGAACGCCTAAAACTATCTCAAGGTTGAGAAACCGACTTCCTGAAACAGGCATTCCTATTTGAAACTGAACAAAATGCAACTCCTGTACATGAAACCCATGTGACATAAGACAGGCATCTCCATCAAAGGCGCTTCTACAAATCACCAGCAACATGGGACACACCACCTGATCATGAGCACGAGCGGCCTCTTCCGCAGTCAAAAAAGTCCCCAGGTAAGTGTGCTTCTTGGTAGCAGGATTGTAATATATCGACTGGAACTTGTGACCATTACAATACACGCCTCTGAAGTCCGCCCGCCGTGTCATATTTCCTCGCCGAATTAACTTGTTTGAAGATGCCCGTGCAAAACTCCCTTTCTTAGATCGCATGAGTCTCACCGACTCTTTCTGGGACTGTTCCTCAACAAAAATGTCATCCTCATCCGATCCACCTTCTTCAACATTTCCAGCAGCAGGAGAACCCGCGTTTCCCGCACATCCAAGCTTGGTGCGCTTTCCTTTCATGGGCTTGCTATCCAAGACACTGTCGTTCTTCGTACTGCATAGCTCACCGTCCCCGTCTTTATCCCCGTCATCCTTACCAGATGAATCAGAGTTGCTGCAATCCATAGTGGCTGATTCACGAGCACCCGCTCGACGGGCAGCATCAACTGAACTGAACACGCCCACAGAATGGTAATCTTTCACTTTGGGATCATAGCACATCGCCTCAAAATCTCCAGCATCCGTCAGCTGGATTAGAAATTTTTTGATCGGTTGTTTGGCTTTAATTTTTGCATGAAACGCTTCTGGGAAGTTCAGGGGGGCTGTCGCACCACGCTTCCGGTACGCTACTTCATCGTAAGCATGAGCTGCTTCTTCAGGTGTGTCGTATATGCCTATGTATATATGCTTCTTTGTTTTGGGAACATAAATCTTCGCCTTGAACCGCCCGCTTGGGGTTGCTTGCACTCCCATAAAGTTGCGCTGAGCCCTCCGCTTCCCAGAAGATTTTGCGGAGTTTTTACCCGCTGATCGAGATCGTGAAGCAGGCTGCTCATCTTCATCAGCTACAGAGACACGTTTTGATTTCGAGAGCGGAGGCTTCTTGCTTCCTTGACCACTTCTCTCCTCCCCATCTTTCCCCTTTGCTTCACCCTCCTCTCTTTGGGGCTTGCTCTCCCTCCGCGATTTTGGCGGAATGGGAAGTGTTTGTTTCGGTGAAGGAGCTGGACCTTTCTCTGCGCTGGGAATCGTAGAAGGGCTGTCTGACTTTCTCCCGTCCTTATCTAACATGGCCCTTCGCTTAGAAGTTGTCTTGTACACTCGGGCGTAGTCAGATTCCACAAAGCTATCCGCGAAGCTTCTACAAGAGATATAGGCAGAAGGCTTAGTTTCTGATAAAACCCAAAACTGTTCCACGTATCCTTAGAAATGTTTGAAACTGAAAATATAATGGCTTACCTGTACATGTTACTCTTTCGTGGAGCTCGCTGAGCTGGTTGATTTCCTTGACCAACAACTCCGAATTCCTGTTTGCTGGTAACGTTGCCCTTCGTAACCTCTTTTGTCACAGAAGCTGGCTCCTTGTCAGATGTTCCACAATTCGCCTTGCCCTTTGCACTAGGTACACGTCGCCTCTTCACCGTGGTATTTATTTCTTCTGCTTCCTCCGCTTTCTGTTTCTTAGTTTTCAGAAGCTCTTTCTCTGTCAACATTTCTGATTTCTGGAACTCCTCGGACTTACGCTTCACCCTACGAGGCGCTGTTTCGGAAGCTTCACTCCCCAACTTTTCATGCCCTAAACTCACGCTACTTCTTGGTGCTTTCGCTGTACCAGATTTCTTGTTTGGAGCTGCAAGTACATATGCCATCAGTACTGCGCCATAACATGCACATGCATACAACCAGTGTGACGCGATCAAAAGTACTTCAAGCCACACTTTCAAGTTCTAAAACTTTCCAACATAACAGCTCACGAGGCTGAACAGTGCGTGAAAAGCGCGAAACCACGGACTCATTACAACATCACAGGACTAAATCGACCAGCAAAGTTGTGAAAAACTATCGATGCCTTTAGAGACACTCGTCCCTCACCTTTGGCCACATCATTGCAATCCGACTCCATTGTTTTACTCCCGTCACAAGGCTTACACTCTTCAGACTCCAAGCTTGGCTTAAGAGGTTTGCATTTCGAAGATTTCACTTCACTGGCCTCACAGTTCTCCTCACTATCTGGCACCTTCCGTTTCGATACTTTGCTTGTATCTGTAACCGACTTATTGTGCGAAGCCAGCCGTATCTTCTTAAATGACTGGGCAATATCTTGAGCCATCGGCTTCTTCTTATTACCTTCTACATTTACCTTCAGATTCCTACTTGCCTGCAACCACCACACACATAAAATCACTTTCTTTTACATGCACTGCATTGTTCACATATCGCATCTCAACTGCGAAGACAGAGAACTGAGGTATCCCTTCTTATGACTTCGATTCTTTCATTCTATGAACCTTAAAATGGAGCTAAATTTCCGTTCACTTTTAGAGAAGAATCGCGCTAAGCAATTCGAGATGAGAACCTTTCGAAAAAAAGAAAAAAAAGAACAGAAGAACAAAAAAAAAACTATTCAGAGCTATTACACAACGCACGTACATACAACGAGGACAGGTTACAAACTTAAGCAACACTTAGTTTACATTAAAACTAATGAATACGTCATACAAACTTAGACAGCGAACAAACCTTTCAAACATTAAAACATATGTACGCAGTTTTACGGAAACAACCGCAATAGATGATTAGTGCAGCTATGCACCCACTCGGTATACCATCTAACAGCACACAACTGCCATTATGCCACAGTTGAAATCAAGTCTAACAAGAGGTAAAATGCGGTTCACCACTAACAACGTCAAAAATAACAAAAACTCTTCCCCATGATTCTATGGAAGAAGACTTTACCTGTAAAGCTCTCATATCGGGAAAGTTGAGAGTAGACATGGACCCCAATTCTAGAGCTTTCTGATCACGTGCACGAGCGGCCTCCAGCATAGAACTATACATTCCTACATACACTTTCTTCCTCATCGAGCGGTCATATATTGTGGCTTCGAATCTTCCTGACTGGGACTTGCGCACGCCTACTAATCGAAACTCTGGATCACCGTTCCCAATCTCCAACAGCTGCTGTTCCTCCTCTTCGTTCAGTTCTGCAAAAATAGATGTCTCCGCGGACTTCCCTCTATCCCCTGGGTCCTCTTCCATTTTCACTCGCAAGCTTGAAGCCATGTCTAATCCCGGCTCCGCAACTGATGGGCCAGCCGACTCTTCATCCGAGCCGCCGGAATCTGTTTTGGAAACAAGTGTCGCTGCACCTGCTCCATGCTCCTTTGTTTGATTCTTGCTAGAATCAAGTTTTTCCTCCATTTCCATTCCTTCCTGACTGATCGCGAAATTGCTCAGCAGTAGCAGCCGATCTGGTCCTGAAGTGTCTTCATCTAACCGTTTCTCTGACCAGCTGAACCGACCAAACCCCTTATCCTTCTTGACACTGCCTCCCTGATCTGTTGCTTCGTCAGAAGTTTTACGACTAGAACATTCCTTTTGTAGACCACCCGTGAGTTTCAAATGTACACTTGGCGTACGATCAGAACCCTCAGATGTAGGGACCAGTGCTTTCACACTCCCTTTACCATTTGTTTCAAAACCACCTAACAAGTTTATCGTCTCAATGAAACTTCCAAAAGAATCCATCTTGTTCTTCATACCGATGCCGTCTGCATTGGCAGGGTTCGACTGGGCAATCCCAAGTGGTACCACTTCTGACTCTTCGTCGTTCTTCTTCAAGTTCGATGCTGAACGCTTTTTCGCTCCGAGGCCATCGCTCACATTCTCTTCTTCATTTGAAGTTGATGACGAACCCAGAGCAAACGGAGAACTCATCCCGAAGTCAAACTCAGAACCTTGCACGAAATTGGTCACTGCACTCTTCCCCCTGAAAATCCTCGCTGCATCGTCATATGCCCGAGCGGCAGCTTCCTCCGTAGTGAACGTACCTAGCCACAATCGCTTACCCTCTGGTGTACGAATCTCAGCCCCATAGGCTCCCCATGGACGCTTTCTCACACCAACGAAACGCGAGAAGAATACTCGTCGACCCTGCGCAAACATCCCAAGCTCCTGAATCATCCGTATGAACGTGACATGGATAATTACAAGTATTACCATATCACTAAGCTGTAATTGGTGAAACTAGCATACAAGTCTGCTTTGGGTCATTATAAAGCTACTTAGCGCTCAATCTCTTATCTAAATTCCTCAAAAGTCCACACCATTTGAGGCACTTCTCAACTGTCAGAGCACTCTTGCAATTTTACTATCCACAGGAGCGAGCATAGATCTGAGTAACACCTACCTGGCCTCTACCCAAGGAAGAACTGTCTCTTGGGGTCTGAACCTTAGACTTGCGTTTGATAGCCAGACCAGGAATAGCACGAGGTTCTCGAGGTCCGCAGCGCACCCCCATCGTGGCCATGTCCAATCCTCCAAAGTCGATAGTGGGCAGAATATTTAGCTGTTCGTATGACCTTTTTCCTAGTAGCATACCAGGAAGGTACTGCGGACTACACATCAAACCTACCTTGTTAAGTTCTATGGGTCCAATATCCACCAAGCAAGTAACACTTGGGGCACCATGTGCTCGCCGCTTTGTAGGCCCTCCGTTGCTAAAAACCTGCCCTGTAGTGTTTGGACGAATCAGCTTGTCGTGTGGGCTTCCGCTGCGATGCGAACTTCTACAACCTGCGCCAGATCCATGATCTATGCCTGCCTTCCCTCCACTGCTAGACATCGTATACGGAAGGGAGATGCCGTGGCTGCTTAGCCGGTCCCCTAACTGGGCACGGAAGGTCTCCAACTCACTGGCAACCTTAGTGGAACTAGATCCAATCTTCAACTGCGTGTTACTTCCCAAGGTGGCATCTTCAAATCCACAACCCGTCGCCCTGCAATTGGCATTGTCTAAATTGCATTCCAAGCAGACATTGGTGCTGGGTCCTGATGTGCTCCCAAAACCTTTTCCATCCTCTTTTATATGTAAACCTCCTATTCACACACCCCGAGGATCAGCTAACTCCCAATATAATAATGACCCTTGAAACAGACGAATATCGAAATCTTGCCATGCTCACCTCGAAATAATCACGCAACGACATATGCGTACAAAACAAAAAAAAAAAAAAAAAAAAGGATTTGAATTTATGATTCTTCACAAAGCTCATCCGTTCTATCAACCCAACAGTCATATCATGAACAAAATCAAGGTGATGAAGACGTCTATGCCGCAGAAAAAGGCACTGTAGTCTCTGCGGAGAGCAGTACAAGAATGGCGACTTCTGAGTTGTATTATAGTTTTAGAATATTGCAATTACACATACTAATTTACCTATTACAAAGAAACCTCTCCGTCTAGAGGTAGCAAACATGACATTGGCCCCGCAATGGAGTTTATCATACATGAAGGCATCGAGATCTATGGTCTCTGCGTGGTGCAGCGGAAACCCGACTGTAGTGAATGAGCGCGACTCAATTACTAGTAACAAATGCGGGGATAAAAATAAAAATCGCCGAGGCAGCACCAGGTGCTGAACAAGATTTAACAGAATGGTAACTAACCTTGCTTTCTTCTTGAGGCTGGTTTGGAAATGGTGTGCGGCACAGGCTCCACAGGTTTCGGATCACCCTGCACCAATGCAGCTGTCTTCTTTCCACTTGTGGATCTTTGAAAGAAAGGTGTCCCCAACTCCTCCTTCGCAGGCACTGTGTTAGATGATACAACCACAGGCAGCTGATTGACGACAAGTGAAGTCCAAAGCTTTGGAGGGGCCACGATCTCCATCTGGTGTGCAACTGCAGCTGCCAGTACCAGCACTGAGAATTCTCCAAGAGGAGGATGCTCCATAGATTGCTGGTTTTTAAGTGTAACAGGATTAATGCTAAATCCCTTGACTTGCTTGTGCATTTGACAGAACCTACAAAGCCCAACAAACACACATCTGAGTCAAGACCTCACAAACACGCTGCATCTAACAAGCCTGCTAGCACGACTGATTCAGCTCCAAAACACAGACAGAATAGATAGAATCAACCTCGACGCTTTAGAAGCAATAACTCGTTAACCCCAAGTGCATAAGTTTCAGATTTAGTTCTTTCTTGTTTTATCAACGACTTGAGAAAAAGATTGTATTCAGTGCTCACAATTGGTTAACTGGTCAACAGAAACATGACGTTAAAGAATGTTTTGCAACTGATGCAGATGCCCAAGTTGCTAACGAGAATATACCTGCGAGGTACAACTAACTGGAAGGACTTGAAGGAAAGAAGGTTCACACACACACCTGGTGTTCTCTGAATTCAAAGACACGGGGAAAAGGCAGCGCTCTCGGCTAGGATATTCAACGAAGTCGCACTGCTTGTATGGTGCAGAAGGATCCTCCAGGATGTGCCACAGACAGAACTTGTATCCCTGTAGGCAATACTGAGAGCAGCTCTGCGTAGACGAATGACACAAATGACCAGAACGCGCTTTTATGTCCTTCCCATTACTTTCAGGGGATCGAGCTGGAACTCGAGATGAGTTTGTCGGAGTTAGAGGGACTGGACATCCAGGAGCGGGAGTCGGATTAGACGGAACAGCCGGAATCAGCCGATGCGTGGCTAGAATCGATGGCAAACCTTGTGAATAAAGAGACAGGCTCACCGGTAAGGGTGACAGGCCGGGAGATGGTAACCGAATACCTGGAGCTGGAGTCAGAAGATTAGGTGTGAAAACCATCAGATCTGAGGCAGGAGGTAGCGACCGACACGCCACGGGGAGGGTAGAGCTGGATTCTGGTCTAGAGCCCTCGTGGGACACCCTCTGTCCAGGAGCAATCTGAGTGGCCATTGCCGGGCTCGGAAATTCCAAGATCCTTTGACCAACTAACACTGAGGCACCAACCCCCGAGTGAACTTTCTGCCTCCACACGGCGGTCCTTGCACGTGCAGGCAACAGATTGCTTACAGTTGGGTTGGCGCTCACAGAAGGACTTACAGCCAAAGCCTCGTTCTCATTTCTAATCTTCAAATCTGACTCTGCCGGCTCCACCTTGAAATTCACTAGCTTGAGTTCAGTGTCACTACGGTGCACTTCAGATGGTGCTTCAGCCTCAGTTGCCTCACACTCGGCTGCCATCCCGATGTTGTCCATCCCTGGCAAGTGGTGTTGCCACCTACATTGACGAGCTGTTCCGTTAGCTTCTCATACATGCTAGAATGTGATTCGAAAATAGACCCATATTCAGACCATATGTACTATGCCCAGTGTCTAACCATAGAATCATACAAGTATGAAGGACATGAACACAAGAAATAGCTGATGCGCAAACCAGTCTTCACAATCTGCAGTGCTCCACAGTCAGGGAAAGCCACTACAAGCTTGCTTCTGAAAAAGTTATCAGTACTACTTACAACACATACCAGAAGACCACATCAGAACCCAACCCTTACGCCTAAAATACATTTTCTCAACATGCGGGAGATTTAAACAAAAGTCAAATAGTTACTCCATAACGATTCAAAGTTTTAATACCTCTCCAGCATAACATCAGTACCTTGGAAGACAAAACTGATGTAAAACATTACATCCACACTGGAAAAAAGAAGGTTGAAATCATCAACAGGGATATGAACTGCCACCATCAAGTAACTGTTGACCTCATAGCTAACCTAAAAAAATCAAACCATTTGCCTTCACAACCATTGTTGAATGTGCTTGTGTGCTGCATCGATGTGACCATCCTTAAGTATGGGAAACAAACCATGTGTAACTCTGTGCCAGCTCTGGTTCATCACTCACCCGTAGCTAACACTAATACCCTTGCTTCCGAGTCATGTGAAGTCAGGATACGTACCTCTGCCTGCCTTCAATCCGACTCAGAATTGATCAACGGGATACAGCACTGCGACAACTACTATCGCCCAACGTCTCATTCTCAAGTTTTCCACACTGTTGCCTCCGAGGTTTGATCGCAAGTCCCTGCAGAATACTTGATCATATACCTCATACTCCTCTCCAAAATTATCTCGCCATCCCACTCATGCCATAACCACACATGATCCTTGACACCATTTTTACAATATGCACTGCTCCAAGGCTTTCCCGGTGGATATGAGATGAACTATGAATGTGCACAAACGCGGCTAACCAGTTCAATCACTGAAAAGGATGCACGACAATGACCCGAACCTGTTCCATCAATTTCCAAACCCTAAAAGATGATAATCACTGGCATCTCAAGCTTTTCCACCGCTATGCAATCGAATCCTCAAATACACCCTTGAAGCAATCAGTGAATGCCGTCAGACTGATGACACTGCAACGCAACAGGTCCGCTGTTACATCAGAACTTCCATCCTCAATCCAGCTATGTCCCCCCAACGCCTAGACCTCCAGTACAGCTATGCTCTTGCTCTGCTATTTGCATCTCCTTGGGACTAAAACCTGTTCCTCGCCATCCTGAATGCAGGTCTGTGCTTCTGCTTGACTACTGGAAACTACATTCTAGCAAGACAGTCCCAACAATGCACGAGAGGTGAAACCAAGAGACACCTAGACCCCGTAATATTCTCAAATCAAACTTCCCCATCTGCTGATTTATTGTCCTGAAAACAACGCATGAACTCAAACATGCACAGTGTCTTCCGGAAATGCCAAAAACCACTCTACTCACAGAAGCTGTGGGTAATCACCTGATTGTGAAGGCCCAAGCGCTACTGACATTGCCTCCTCAAACACGACCTTCAAATAAACCCATTCCCTGTAGTAGCTACCCTGACGCCCGAGATCCAATGTTTACTGAATACTTGCTACCCGTGACAGCACCCCAAGTCCTATCCAAGTTTCCGGACTCAACTAGTACAAAGCTTATAGCAATGCAGCTGTTCCAGAAGGTGGGATTCATTGCAATTCCTTCGCTTCATGTCAGGAGCTGCATTGCATTCTGCAAAGACAAACAGATACTCACCCCAAGAAATGGGATGCTCGTTCCGACGGAACTTTCAGCAGCCAACACTTGATTCCTTCCCTAAACTACAACACCTTCCCTTGCCAAAAAATAATCTGCAGCTATCTCACTTTGCCTCTGATTCCCAATGTCTGTAGGAAACCTTCCTGCGGACTCTAATCTAAACTCTTCTTCCAGGTCCATGAGCCCTCCGATTCGAGGAAATGAGCAACTTCAATAACCACGTCACATGTACGCATTCGCATGGTCTAGATACTTCAAGACTGATAAGCTCGAGCTTGTTGCGCGTCCACTTGCAGTCAAAGCTGTTGCACAACAAATTGTCAATGTCATAATTCAGTATAGCTACTGCACAGACAGATTAAATTTTCCTTGAGGTTTCCTGTCATATACTCAGCTTCGGCCTCGCAGCACGAGGATGAGGTTAGCCTGAAGCTTCAAGACTCTAAGCCCATGAATCGTGAACAGAGTACATATACCATCGAATTTAAACAGATCTTACTACTACATGCAAAAGAAATATCTTAACGAACCACTCTCAAGTACTACGCGCCCTATGCTGGCATTCTCGACCCGTTCAATAACCGATCCCAGATCTTACAACTCTGCAAGTGAATTTTGCATACCCTTGGACAGCACATCAGAAAAGAGCTGACAAGTATGCAAGTTTCGGATCTAGTTTAGTGGGGCCATTACTAGCATAAAGACAAGTACTGATTTAGAATGGGACAAAACCCATCACATGCAGAAACCATCGATTAACTCGAATGAGCTATTCGAGCCGCTTACCCTGCTAACCTGAATTTAACGCATAGAGTACGCAGTTCTCTCCTGTGGGTATTGCCAAAAACCATTCCATGTCCATATAGTTGCATTACAAGACCTAACTAAGCTGCTACAGCCTCTAAAGCATTGACCCCATAGCCACATGCACGAAACTGCAACACATCTTCCACTCCGCAACTAATTCGTTGAATTCTGAGAAGGTCTATACCCATCTGAATCAGCACAGTTGAGGTGTATTTCCTTACAAATATTCCATCTCTATGACATGCGGAATCTACATCGGCAACACTAGAAGGTCTGGGACCATGAGCGCAAGCACAAACAGGGGTCATCGAAGCCTGGGATAGAGCCAATTGGAAAACTTCGTCCTAAAGAATCACGACGAAACCCATACAGACAGACTCTCCAACACAACCTAAGACCCGCAGCACAACCAAATTGACTCCCCGAAAGCAAGTGTCCGGTCGAATGGGGACAAGAAAATGATCAAAGCATACTAGGCACACGAGTCCCAGAGATTATCTACCCTAAGGCTGCTGCTGCTGCTTGATTGTAAGCACGAAGCAAATGACATGGTCCAAGGGGAAGAAAAAGACAAAGCTGTTTCGTTTCCCTTCCGGAGAAGGGTAGGGTATGCAGCTAAACAGAACCGACCCCAGGGGTTGGATATGAAGATTCGAAGAGGAGCAAAATAAGCGCGGAGAAGGGCGCGAAGGGTCTATCAGACCTGACATAACCAGGTCATGCCTCTGTAGTTGTTGACCCCTCCAAACGCCCGCATGCCAGAGGATACTATATCGGCAGCAAAAACGGTCGCGAGTCTACCGGCCACACCTAAAACATATAGCCCCGACCGCACCACAGCAGGTATGAAAGGGAGACGATGAGGAAACACGGCGCCATTACGAGAGCCATCATCAGTTGGAGTCAACCAGCCGCCTCCACATCCATACCTCACCCTCTCACTCCCGACACTCCCTGTGTCTAACCTGACTCCGAGACTTCTCCTGATGCCATACCCAACGAACCCCACTCACAAATCCTAAACAACATCAAAACTATCCCCTCTCCTCGGTCGTCCCTCTACATCCCCAACTTCCCGCAATCTATCACCACCCCTTCCCCCCCCCCCCCTCCCCCGAAAAAAAAAACCATGCTGGTTCGCACGCCCAGATCCTTCTGCCCACCCCATCCCCCTCAGCCTAATTCCGCCACCACCATGCACCCCCGCAAAATTGCAAATCTTCAGCAAGACAAATTGCTGTCTACTCTCCTGTTCTCGTGGTCTCCTGAGCTCTCACTCCTGGACTCACCCTGAATGTCATCAATCCGGGTGCGAAAGCCGCAAAACCTCCGGCGTCGCGCCTACCTGATGCTAGATCCACCCACGATGCACGATCCGAGCTGCCGCTACGCACGAAAGAAGACCTGCTAGGGAACCGCTAGCTGGTTCGCAAGTACGCTGCGCGGCCTTCTTCGTCGTCAGGCTGCAAAAGAACGGTTGGGTCCTCGAGCCAGACAGACAAACAGCAGACGAGACTGATGATAGAGGTGGAGGCGGCTCGGCTGCCCCCTTTCACGGTTGTGCCCCCCCCTCGCACTGCCATCCCCGACGGCGATCCCCCGCTCGCATCATCCGTCCTTTGTTTCTTCTTCGTCCGCTGCATCCAACCTTACATCGCATTTTCGACGAGAAGATGTGCAGATGAGGAGGAGCTCTGTCGGGACCTAGATGATGAGTCCTCCCGCGTCCAGTTGCCATGGCGAGGTCGGGATTACGCAGTTGACGGCAGATTAGTTTCACAATTTAGTGACGAGAACCAACCTCAAGCGCGCGATGTGTGTTGTTTCCGCGTTGCTACAACATAATCGCGCCTGGTTTACAATTAGAGAGTTAGTAAGTATTTACTGGGTGCCTAATTAGACGGGCTGGAATCTGGCCCGCTTTCGAAAATGATGAGGCCGCCAAGTTGGATTAGTAGTCCCCTGGTCTCTCACTAATTCTCCACGTCAGTGAAAGAGTTTCTCCGCTTGATGAAAGTCTTCCGCGATGAGTTTACTCGTGTGTTCAAATCCTGAGCTTAGTAAGAGCAATGCCCCTCCCTTTATGAGGATGACTTGAAACTGTAATCTTTCAATCTTGCTCGTCATGCGGATTTGACACTGGTACTGGGTGCATGTTGTACACTGCAAAACAAACCAACAATTATTAAACATCAATTTTCACGTTTATACAAGTGTGTATACATACATATATATATATATATATACATATACACACATACACACACAAACACAAACACGTGTGTGTGTGTGTATGTGTATGTCTGTGTGTGTGAGTATAACTGCATTACCCCAATATTAAACAAATCAGTAGGTTTATTTGAATACAAATTTTGTGTTTGACTGGCATGAGCTATTGTGGTGTTGAGTAGAACAATTTTACAAGTGAAGAACAAAAACATTTATTCAGAATTGCAAAGATGTGTACTTGAGCAACTTGAGCACAAAAGGCAGTGGTATAATACAAAATTCAACATTAGAATTTGATTCATCAAAAAATACAAAACAAAACAAAAAAAACAAAAAAACAAAAAAATCAACGAACGGAAAACATGATATGAAATATGAATGCCTTTACACCATTGCTAATGTTTCTTTGAAATACTGTTGTATGGTTTTACATATCAGAAATACATAAATAAATAAATAAAATCACAGTGCCAGCATAACTGAGTATGATAAAATTAAAATTAAAATGTGATTTCAAATCATGTGAAACATCTTATTTGTGGCATTTTTCACATTTCATTTAAACTTTCTGTTCTGTGTTATCACGCTTATTGATAGTTTTTCATAAGTCAATGTTGTCATTATTTTTCTGGTCTTGTATTTTTTGGGACTAAATTGATATGTATTAATCAGTAAAACACTTCAACAAATACATACACATTTACTGGACTTCACATACAGATGCATTTAATAAATAAATAAATAAATAAAAATCATTAAATGTTTTATTAAATGTCCTAGATCTGTCAGTTAACAGAATTTTAGAGATTAAAAATAGTTGAAACACATGTGTGTATGTTTGTATGTATATACATGCACACTAACCAAATAGTCTTAAAAATGCAAACTTCAACACAAGTAGAAGCAATTATGTTTTGAAGCTACAGTGTAAACACCCCTTACAAAAAAATACCCAAAACGTTTTCTTGTGAGACAACAACAAGAACAAATGGATCATGGTCAATGTCATTTGGGGCCAAGAGAGAGAGAAAAAAAAAAAAAAAAAAAAAAAAAAAAGAGGATATGTGTGTAAATTACTGCTCCAAATTGGAATAAAAAAAGAGCATTCAACAGACATGCAAACAAAAATTTACTTGTTATTTTTGTTTGAAACTATATACCATCTAGTGTGGTCTTTTATTTTTACAATAATATTAAAAAGGGTTTAGTTTCCACCAATATCCATCATGTAACCCTACAATGCTGGAGCCAAATAAACACCATCTTTCGTGTTTTCACAACAGTTTCAACACCAATTCATCATCCCAGACTGTGGTCCTGGGCTCCATAATTCATGAAACTCCCAAAATAGAAACATTTTTTTGTTGTCAGGCCTGGAAGCATGCAAATCCAACAAGTTCCAAAAAGTTGGCTGTGCTCTAAAAAAGATCCCACAGTGGAGATGTCAGGGAACCCTTGACACTTGGACATGGAACAACAAAAAAATACATTAGGGTTTGGATGTGTCAAGCTCCTCCTCTGTGCTCTCAAAAAGGTTCAAAGGCATATGGCAAAAGAGGGGTTTTCATTGAGGTTGCAACAAAGTTAAGGCCCAAAGCCAAGCTTGGCAGCCTGGATCAGCCTGCCCTGCCACCAATGGGGCATTATTTATCACTTCCGTTCGTGTGGAGGTGGGTAACATGCAGAATCAGTTGTTCCCAGCAGCCATTCAAGCCTTCTGCCAGTGTTGCCAGCCAGCCAGAATACCAATCATGGTTGCTTTTCTCTGAGCTTGCTCCATTCTATGGCCAAGCTATGGCTCAGAATGGTCGAGAGGAGGAGGAGTGTGAGGAAGAGGTGAAGGTTTTGACCCAGTGTGGTAGCATCTCTCATGCTCCCTCTCCTGAAGATTCATCCCCAATGCCTGAAAAAAAGGGGTGAAAAGAGAGAGAGAGAGAGAGAGAGAGAGAGAGAGAGTTTGTGTGTGTGTGTGTGTGTGTACCCCTTTGTCTTGACAAGCATTCATTGACTTGGTCCTTGGGGCTGACTTGGATCCTGATTGAGAAAATCCCACCCCTGATTTAGTAAGGATAAGCTTTTTTTGACTATACCCTGGAGTGTAGGGAAATTGAAGTCAAGGGTCATGGTTCCTTCAGCTTGCTTCAATTAACATTCATACCAAGCATTTTTGTTTTACTTGTTTATTTGTTTTTTCAGGTGGGTACATGGAGAATCATCTGTTCCCCACTCTTATCTGTGAAAACAATTGGCAGTGTGTGAGCCTTCACCACACAAACAGAAGACAAGATGAATTTATGTAGCATGGAAGTGAATGTTAATACCATGCCCACCACTGACAAACAAAGGAAGAATGAAAAAAGAAATCAAGATATTCTTGGACACAAGTTATATAAATCTTCTGACAGCTTCTTCACAATTGTAGCCATTTTTATTTTTTTATTTTTTATTGTTTATAGACATGGTATTATTCACCAATTTCTCAACTTGTTATCTACAAAAGAGCATGGGTACCCACTCCATCCAAAATTCCATACATTACATAATTTGCATAATAGTTTGTATTAATGAAGTGCCAAGTCTAGTACACAACCATTTTAAGTGAATAATTAACCCCCTTTTCTACCCCCCCCCCCTTTTTTTTTCCCTGTGATGGGAAGTTGGGAACAACTGCAATGGTCCCCAATATGTGTGGAAACTGTACTACTATCTCTGAATATTGTACTCCGAATATGGTACCATGCCTGAGAATCTTGTTTAATACAACAATGATGCAACTTGAAGTGGTTACCAAGAGCATAATTCAACAACCCAGCACCCGCTTGGCAATCTGACAATCTAGAGGGGGAGGGATTGTACTACTACTACTACTACGTCGAACTGAAACCATGGTTTAGGGTTTGATTGTAATCTGTGTGTGTGTGTGTGTGTTTGTCTCTCTCTCTCTGTCAACTTAGCGCAGAGCTGTGGGTCTGAAATTCTCCCTCGCTCTCCTGTGTACTACGATTCAGAGGTGGGTTTGCCTGTACTCAATTGGGAAGTTCATCCACGTACTCGAAGTGGGGAGGGATAAGGATTGGAACCTGGGCATGGCTATAGCGTAGATAGCCTGAACAGCCGTGGATGCTGCTGTTGCTAAATGTTGCTGCTGGGTCCCTGTCTGCGAACGCGCGAAATCAGTGCAGCCATCGATTCCCCGCTC